TTGGAGCGCAGCCCACGGGCTATTTACATAAATATGTTTGTAACAGACGCGAAAATATATGCTTCTTTCTGTCTTATTAAAACGTTCAAGTTGGAACTCGCCTATTGTTTGTGGATATCTTGATTCTGTTAAATAAAACAGTGACTAATTTATGGGATAAAACACAAGTTCAACCAATTAAAACCATTACTGGAGCTCCGTGGGCCCGGGTGGACCCGGCAGCCCTCCCGAAGGGCCCGGGCGAGGCGCGGAGCCAGCTGCGGGCGGGCGGGCGGGGCGGCCGCAGGGCTCCCTCTGGGCACTGCTACGGGGGGCGGTGGGCTGTGGCCCGCAAAAGTTTGGGGAGAGCAGCTCCCAAAGGTTCCAACCTCAGCTGCACTCAGGGTAGATGCCCCCAAACTGCCCCCTCCTTCGTTGCCCCCGGTCTTCTGGGCCCCCGTGCACCTCAGAAGCCCCCCACACAGTGGACGGGCAGGGCCAGCTCCTAAAGGAGACTCAGGACCAGGCAGGGCCCTGTGCCAAGCCCGGGAAGGGGCACTGGGTCCAGGCACCCCTCAGAGAAGCCTCAGGGGACAAGGGCCTGCCCCCTGTGCTGACCCCCAAGCACCGTCCTGGACCCCAAGTGCCCACCACGCCCACCAGGAGCTGGTGCCGAGCCGGAGCCCTCCACCCAAGAGGGAGGGCCCGCCCTGGGACGGTGCCACCCCGGCGTGCGGAGAGGGGCAGGCCCTCACACTGCCGGTGGCTTGCTGGGCGCGGTGGGAACGCAGGAACACATGTTCTCCCTCTGGGATTTAATTAGCGGTGGTTTGATGCTCTACACCCAAACTGGGCAGATGCGAGACTCCCCCAGCCTCTTGGAGAGCCAGGCCCGGAGGCACAGGCTCAGGCTGGGCTCCGGGCCTGCCACCCCCCTCAGGCCCGGCCGGGCCCACCCGGACCCGCAGACAGGGCAGCCCCTCCCCGGCTGTGGGGCCCGCCGGCACGCCCAGCCAGCCAGGCCACGTCAGCTCGCCAGCCCCCTTCACGCGAGGTGGCCCTGGCCAGGGGGCGGGGGACAAAGTGCTGCTGCCCAGGGTCAGGGTCAGGGTCAGGCCTCCAGGAGGAAGGCGGCAGCAGTCCTGGGATCTTGCTGGGAACGAACAGGGGACAGGCCTGTGCCACCCCGGGAGGCAAGAGCCCGGAGCCAGCGAGGGCAGGTGTGCACCGTGCACCTCAGGCCCCTGGGGGGACCCCGGCCCTGCCCTGGCTCCCAGCCCCTGGGCGGCCGCTCTGGGTGTCCGAGCATTCTGCTCTCTGACCCCGGGAACGGCTCCCCAGGGCTCCGGGTGGGGGAGCCGACACCAGTCCCCAGGACGGAGCGAGAGCCTCGGCCCGGAGCAGGGCGAGGCGGCGTCTCCATGAGACAGACCGCTCCTCCGAGGCGGCCGCCAAGTGCTCTCCGAAAGGAAATAGTCCCGACGGGGAGGCCCCGCAGAGCGGGGAGAGGGCAGCTGGTGCAGCAGGCGGCACCCTCCTGGCACTGTCTGCCTGGCAGGGGGTGAGGGTCCGAGGCTGGGAATGGCGGTGCAGGAGGAAACGCAGGGGCCGAAGCGGCGGCCGGGGCAGGAGGGGCAGTCAGGACGCGGTCCACCCCAGGTAAGCGCTTCACCTGGAGCTGAGCTCACTCCACCTGCAGCTCTCCCGGCACCTCCCTCCGCCCCCAGTGTCTCCTCTGGCAGAAACAGCTTTAAACAAACACACCAGGAAGTCAACTCCGAGGACCCGCTGGTCAGGCCCCAGAAAAAGTCTCCTGCCCGCCCGTCCTCCTGGGCTCTGGGCTGGGGCAGGGGCTGGGCTCTGGGGCAGGAGCTGGGCTCTGGGGCAGGAGCTGGGCTCTGGGCTGGGGCAGAGGCTGGGGCTGGGGCAGGGGCAGGGGCAGGGAAGAGACTGGCACAGGGGTAGGGCTGGGGAAAGAGCTGGGGCTGGGGCAGGGGCAAGGACAGGGAAGAAGCTGGCACAGGGGCAGGGCTGGGAAGGGGTTGGGGCTGGGGCAGGGGCAGGGGCAGGGACGAGGCTGGCACAGGGGCAGGGCTGGGAAGGGGTTGGGGCTGGGGCGGGGGCAGGGGCAGGGATAGGGAAGAGGCTGGCACAGGGGCAGGGCTGGGAAGGGGCTGGGGCTGGGGCAGGGACAGGGAAGAGGCTGGCACAGGGGCAGGGCTGGGGTAGGGCTGGCTGCAGCAGGGCTGAAGCAGGGACTGGGTTCTGGGCCAGAGCAGGGCTGGGCTGGGCAATCAGCAGAGGAGAGGAGTGCTGGGCCCAGGCCTCAGGCCCAGCACCTGTGTCCTGGCTGGCCACCGAGGGCCAGGAGCTCCCCCCGGTGAGAGTCCCCACGGACAGGCAAGCCACACACACTGAAGGAGTTTCCGGTTTTTATTTAGACAGAGTGAGCCGTGAGCTCAGCCGGAGCACCTGCACGTGTGGAGCTGCCGGGGGCGAGGTGTTTACGCCGTGGCTGTCCACAGCAGAGCACCGTCTGCAGGTTCAGCGCCCCTGCCCAGCAGCTGGCTGCGCAGGGCGGCCAGGCACTGCCGGGCGCCCCGCACGCACCCGCCTGCTGGGGCATCGCACACCCGGGGCTCGGCGGGCGGGGGGCCTGGGTCAGGAGGTGCCCGCGGCCTCCCTGCCTGCTCCCGGCGCGGGTCGGAGCTCCCCTGAAGGACGCTTTAGGAAAATACATGGTGATTGAGTGCAATAATCTCCCCCTTCCAGAAAGGGCCCGACAGGCCTGCCTGCTGCTCACTTCTGCCCCATTCCAAATATTTTTACCTTATTTGGATGAAATGCATTATTTTTCTAATGAAAGGCTTTTTTTCAAAGGGCTGTTTCCCTCTGTCCAGCGGCTGCCTTTATTAGGCAGCAGTCACGCCGTTTTGGGGAGGGGTTTTTCCTCCCTGAATCCAGGCCAGGCGCTCTGTCCTCAAACTCCAACCTCCGCTCGGGACCCGGGGCCGAAGGCCTCGCCCAGGTTTCTCCCGGGAGCCCGGGCTGCAGCCACCGGCCGGGCAGGAGGCGCCGGCCGGGCAGGAGGCGGCACGCCGCGGCCCCTGCCTCGGGGCGGGAGGCCCAGGGCAGCCTGGCCACACTGTGCTCCTGTGGCTCCGGCTGTGTCTGCCCCAGGCCACCTGCTCTGGCCACTGTCGGCTCCACTGGAGGACGAACCTCTGGGAAATGAGTGACTCCAAGCTGAAGGGGGAGACCCCATAACCGCCCACTCAGGACGGGGTCAGAGGCCGTTCTGTGGACCCGAGGGGGCCTCAGACCAGCCTCCAGCCCCCCCGGCTCCTCTGGGGACGGCGGGCGACGGGGACACTCAATGTCGGCTCTGCTGTTCCCTAGGAAGCGCGAGGCGGGGAACAGCCCGCAGGGATGTCATGGGGTGGGGGGGGGGGGGGGAGGCAAGCATCAGAGATAAAACCCAAGGATCCCGGCTGGGGTGGCTCAGGGGCTGAGCACAACCTATGAACCACGAGGCCACGGTTTGATTCCTGGTCAGGGCACCTGCCCAGGATCGGGCTCCATCCGCACTAGGGGGGCTGCAAATCAATGATTGCTCTCATCGATGTTTCCATCCCTCTCTGGAGAGTGTGTGTGTGTGTGTGTGTGTGTGTGTGTGATGACGCCTGAGGAAGCGGGCCAGGGGATGGACACTCAGGTCGCCATGACCCGACACCCCCGTGGTGACCCGGGGCCTGAGTCAGGAGGGGTTTGCTGCCAGGGGAGGGGATGGACCCGAAGCCCTGGAAAGGGGCCTCGGCAGGAGGTGAGATGTTTCTGAGACAAAACAGCCCGAACGCGAGTCCCTCAGCCCTGGGCCCTCAGCCTCCTCCCTGGCCAGGCTGCGGGGCCGGCGGTGCAGCAGGTTGGAGGCAGCGGGGGCTCACCTGGACCCCGCAGCCTCCGGAGCCGATGTCCGCACAGCTCCGCCCAGCCCCCTGCAGGCACAGAGCTCTCCTTGGAAGGAGCCGCCGCCGGTCCCTGGGATCAGGGAACGCTGCGTGAAGGGCACAGGGAGCCGGGGAGGGCGAGGGAGAGGAGCCGGGGGAGGAAGAGGCAGCTCCTGGGAGCACATGCATCCATTTAAGGAAGGAAGCTCCTCACCCTCACAGCAGGTCTATATACAGCACGGACGCTCTCCTCCCGAGCAGTGTCGCCCTCAACACACGGCCGAGGATGAACCCCTCCAGGCTCCGTGCTCGGCCCCCCACGAACCCCCATCCCCTACGGGTCCTCCCGGGGCTCACCGGGCCAGCCTCAGCCGAGACCCCGGGCACGGGGAGCAGACAGGGAGCCGCAGGCAGGAATTAAATAGTGGCAACTCATTTATTACAATTATGTACAGTCGCATCTCATATTCTCAACCTAAACCTGATCGCACAAATGAACGTGTTTCTGGACCGAAGGACAGACAGCAAGGCCCTGACGCCTGGCTCCTAGAGAGGCGGCCACAGCTCGCCGTGAAGCAGGGGCAGTCACAAGTGCGTGTGATGTCACTGGCTGGGAGGACGGGGCCCGGTGGGGCTGGGACAGGCGGCCTGGAAGGCCCGGCCAGAGGAAAGGGCCCCGGGGACAGAGCCCCTGCCCCCCAGCATGAAACGGAGGGAGGAGCCGGGGCGGGGAGGGGGGACAGCGGACAACGGTCACGCTGCTGCCCCCTGAGGGCCAGCGGCCAGGTAGGAGCTACCTCTTGTCATGCACGGTGTTAGGTCAGCTAAGATGCTCAGCGACAGCCTGGACAAGCCTGGGTCCCGGAGACGGGCAGGGCCTCGGCCTGCCGGGAGAACAGGTCGTGGCGTCTGTGGGGGGAGCTGAGGAAGCGCAGGCGAGGCTGGAGGACGGAGAGCAGCCGCCGGGGCCAGGTGTGCCCGCCTCACGCTGCCCGGCCCTGTGCCCCCACCTGGTCAAAGCGCCTCCCGAGCCACCGGAGGGCCAGGCCGCCACCTCGTGAGGGACGCCGCGGCCTAGTCCCGCTCGCTCTCATTGCTGGCGCCCTCCGGCCGCCGCTCCACCTGCTCGTTGATCTGCCCGTCCCCGCCCCGGCGGTCCTCCCGCTGCACCTCCAGGCAGTCCTCCTCGTCCACGTGGCTCACGTCCTCGTCCTCCTCGTCTTCCTCGTCCTCCCTCTTCTCCTCCTCGCCCTGCACCTCCATCCTCACCTGGCCCTTGACGTCCACCACCCCCTCGCCCTCTTCCTGGGTGCCCAGCAGGTGGTAGGTGGCCGTGGAGCCCTCGGGGCTATGGCCCTCCTTCACGGGCGAGGACGACGCGGACTCGTTGCTGACGGGCGAGATGTCGCTGCTGCTGTGGTGGTTCACAGTGGCCGGGCTGGAGGGCGACGTGGACTTGACCGGGATCTGCCAGGAGGGGAGCTTCGGGGCTGACGGGGAGGGAGGGAACTGCCTCCTGGCGGTAGAGGGAGGAGAGGGCGGCGTCATGACCACGCCCTCCCCCAGCCCCAGCCCCAGCCCCAGTGCCACTGAGCCGGGGACAGAAACCAGCCAGTCAGCCACTCCCTCCACTCGGACCCACGGCCTCAGGAGACTGGAGCAGCTAAGACGAAAGCAGAGACGCCTGGGTTGCCCACAGAGTGCCCTGGCCACTAGGGGAGCCTCCTGGGCCCTCCTCACAGCTTGCAGCACCCCCCCTCCACCCCCACCCCCAGGCCTGCCAAGCCCTGGAGCCTGTTCCCTCCTGGTCCTGACGTCATCCCCGCCTCCAGCCCCAGGGGGCGGAGGGGGGGGAGATCCCCAAACACCTGGGCCTCGGACTCTTAACATGTCTACGGCTCTGCATGGGAGTGTTGTGGGGGGGGGGGGTGCGGGGGGAGGCGCACTGCTCCAGGTCCACACATCAGAACAGAAGGGAGGCCTGAGGCGCTTTCTTAGAAAAACCTCGGAGCTCCACAGCGGACAGGGAAATCACTCCTACCCGCTCCCGCCCTGGGCGCCACGCCACGCCAGCAGCCAGGCAGACCAAAGCCAAGTCTGGGAGGGACCTGGGAGGTCAGGTCCTCTTGGCAGCGGCCTGGGAATCGGGCTCTAGGACAGGCAGCCTGTGCCTGAGCCTCCTGGCTGCCCAGCGCCCAGCACTGGCAGGACAGCGCTTCCTCCTGGAGCCCCGGGGAGAGCACACGCCACAGCCAGGCAGCCAGCGTCATGGAGGCGAAGGAGAAATTCAACTGGCAGCTTTCTGGGCTCCAACGTTAGCCAGCGCCTGCTGTCCCCAGGTTAGAACCACAGAGGTTTCCCTAATGACACTCCAAGCTCACCCCTCTCTCAAGGCCAAGTTCTTGTCTTCAGAGAAGGCCTGGGAGGAGGCAGCTTGGAGAGCTGGGTCCTCGATTAGGGCCCCATCCTTGGCTCTAAGTTAAGGGCCAGCTTAGTGCCTTCACACTGCCTCCCACAGCCCCCCTAAACCCTGAGCCTGCAGAGGAGGTGGCCAACCAACCTGTGTCCCAGGACACAGGCCTTTCACTTTTAAAACCAGACGGTCACTGCTCTGGCCGGTGTGGCTCAGTGGTTGAGCATCGACCCATGCACCAGGAGATCATTGGTTCCAGTCAGGGCACATGCCCCGACTGTGACTCAATTCCCAGCAGGGAATGTGCAGGAGGAAGCTGATGAATGACATTTCTCTCTTATCGATGTTTCTCTCCCTGTCCCCTTCTCTCTCTAAAATCAATAAAAAACATATGAAAAAAATAAAGCAGATAGTCCCTGACCAGCCAGAGTGGCTCAGTTGGTTGAACGCTGCCCTGTGCACCAGCAGTGCCGGTTTGAGTCCGTCAGGGTTGCACGTTCAATCCCATCGGGCCATGTACGGAAAGCAACTGATGGATGTTTCTCTCTCACATGCATGTTTTTCTCCCTTCCTCTCTCTAAGCACCCCTCTGGTGGGCTCAGGAGTGCCATCACTGCGGGGGGGGGGGGGGGGGGGGGCAGCAGAGGGTGACCACAGCTGGGGGTGAGGAGGCAGGTGTGTGTCTGCCCCGCCTGGAACCGTAAGACCCTCCCAACTAAGGGTGCGACCTGCTGCGGGGACCGTCTCAGGCCCAGCTGGACTCGGGTAGAGGAGTGGCCTGTCCGAGGGACGCTCGCTCTCCTCTGCCCAAGGCCGTGGTCTCCCTGACCACGCCTGGCGGGGCCGAGGAACACGTGGTTCAAAACTCTGGTGGGCACTGCGGCCTGTCAGGAGAGGGTGGAGGGGCCACTGGGGACGGAAAGGGGAGGCTCCAGAGACCCCACAGCTCAGCCAGGGCCGCCGGGGACGCACCCCCTCCCAGCAGCTGGTCCAGCGGTGCCCCCTCCCCAGGCCCAGGCTGAGCCAGAGCACAGGCCCCCCCTCCCCACACCTACCGATTCAGAAGAAGCCCTTTCAGGGAGTTAATTTCCGACTTGAGCTCATTGATATTCTGGGACTCCAGGATCCAGTTGGTGGAGGTGGTGGCCTGAAGGTGGAACAAGGGGGAACAAGGATCCGAGTGGCACCCTCATCCCCACCCCGCCCGTGGAGCTAGGTGGCTGGGGCGATGGGCAGGGCTGGGCCTGGGAGACCCCGGGCATGTTCGGGGGACCAGCCTCGGAAGGTTCTGCCGCTGCCCGTTCAGGGCTCTGCCTGCGTGGGTGTCTGTTTAATGACAATACTAAGGAATCATGACATGTATTCAGGTGTAGAAATGGTCATATAAAATAGAATGACACGATGACAAGAGAGCCTGTGTCACTTAGAGACACAAACCGAAGTGTTTGCTCTGTGATCTGAGAAGCTTCTGGGGTGGGGGTGCGGGCAGAGCTGAGGCAGGACGGGCTGAAGAGGCAGCTGCGCTGGGCAGGGGCCTGTGGGTCGCTGTGCGGTGCCTCCATTGTGTGTTTGAAATGTTCCATTAACACAAAACTCATCAAATAAATATCCACCTCTGCACCAGCTACGCCCTCCACCCAAGCCCTCCCCCTGCAGAACACACACCACCCAGAGGAGAACGGGGGCTGAGACAGCGCGCCTGCCCCCGCAGGTACCAGAGGCCGGTACCCGGAGCCTCTCGGAGGGTCAGGCAGCGAAGGGAAAGAAGCTGTCCTAGGACTGCAGGTCTCGTCCTGCCCCGAGGAGGCCCAGGGAGGGGCAGCCAGTGCCTCTGACAAACGCCATCCTCCCCACACCGCTCCCTCGGATGCCGTTTCCACATAAACTTCAGAGGCCGCCTTCCTGGCTGGGACGGATGGAGGAGGAAGTCACGGTGCCCAAAGGCGCTGCCGTGGCCACGCCGCCTGTGAAGTGTTTATGGGCCGTTCCAGGGTGGTGGCCTCAGGTGTGTGGCCGGCATCCCAGGGCGAGAGGCCACCGGGGTGGCGGCAGTGCCCCGGTGAGCCGTGCGAGGCCCTGCTTCCCTGACCCAGGAAACCCCGGTGTGAGGCCAGGAGGACGCGGGGGTCCAGGCTGGCAGGGGGAGGGGGCCTGGGCCTCTGACGTGGGGACACCTTTGCAGGGAGAAGGCTCAGCGGGCCGCAGGGCCGGGAGGAAAAGCCGGCGTCAGAGAACAAGCGCATGGATGCCCACCTCCCCACATGCTCCCTGGGGGCCCGGCTCCAGACCACCAGGCAGCGCAGGCCGGAGCCACTGTTCTGGCTTCTCCGCAGCCTGAAACCATAGCAGCCCGTTAACGAGGGAGCAATTTCCACTCTCCGGCCGCGGCGGACTCAGATTTCCAAACGCATGTGGTGCCAGATGCCAGGATTTAGAAATAAAACCTGACATCTGGGGCTTTTTAGCCAGTCTCTTTAAAAACAGTTGTGGAAAAGTCCCAGCCTTCAGTTTTATGTTGTTTTTTAATTACTTAATGCTCTTCTTTTTAATTTTTCACAGTGCTGCAGCAGGAGCTTGGAGGCCAGATATAAAAACTTACATTACAGCTGAGAAAACACGGCTCCGAGTCCTTGGTTTATGGGGCAACCAGTCTTCACACATATGGTTTAGGAACCGAACCAGGAGCCCTGCTTCCGTCCAGCAGAGAATGGGTGAGAGGGGCCGGGGGCACGTGGGGGCCATCGGACAAACAGGCACAAACGCTCAGGCTCTCAGCCACTCGGCACCGTCCTGGCCCCCCCTCTTAAAATGCAACATGTGGTCCTAATCTTAACGGTGAAGGCCTGGAAACAGTTTTCCAATTTCCGGAGTGGCTTCTGGCCACGGGCGGGCAGGCCGCCGCTCCGAGATGACAGAGGGTCGCGGGCGGGGCTCACCGGCCTCTGGTGCTTTATGGGCCACCGGCCCCGGGGGCACTCGGTGGCTGGAGGTGGCCACCGGCCGCGGCGCCACCTGAGGAGGAAGTACAGGCAGCCCCTCCCCGTGGGGGGCACTGAGGAGGGGCATCTCAGGGACCCTCTTCACAGGAGGCACCAGGTCCATGGGAAACGGAAAGAGGCCCATTTTGCTGGCTTTTACAAATGCGGAGATTGAGTGCTGGCTGACACCTAGTGCACCGGGGTGGCCCCCTGGGAGAGCCCCCAGAGTGGGATCCTTACAGCACTGGGGGGGGGGAGGGGGGAGGAGCACGGAAGCAGCCAGAAAGCAGCCACTAGGCCACTGTCTCCTGGGCCTGATGCCTCGGGGATGACCCTGTCACACGCCCACAGACCCCAGGCCAGAGCCTGACACCCTGGAGCTGGCTGCAGCCAGCCCTGTTCTAAGCATGCCAATGAAGGAGGTGCTCCACTTTACAGACGAGGACACTAAGACCAGAGAGGTTAAGTGACCTGCCTGTGGTGGCACAGCTAGCATGTGGCAGGGCGGATTTTAACTCAAGCGGTCCGATATGACTAAGACAGCTTCAGATTCCGGAGTGAGACATGGAAATGGCCCGTCCCTTCCAGTTGGCACTACCTCCCTGTGAGGTTGCCTTACCCGCAACCTGGGTTTTAAGAACCAGGGCCCCACCGCAGAGCTTGGCCCAGTGCGTCTTGGCAGCTGTGACCTGTGACCAAACAAGCAAGTGGAGACTGTTCTGTGTCAACACCACCGGCCTCAGAGGTGGGCATGTGTGCCCACAGGAGGCCCCGGGCAGAGTGCTGCCCCCCTCCCTCCCGGGGAGGTGCCAGGCGACAGAAGGACAGCCGCCGTGCAGTCAGAGGGAGAAAAGACCAAGTCAGACCCCACGGAAAGCGGCGAGTGGGCAGAAAGGACTCGAGTGAAGAGCCGGTCAGGGCACCCCTGGGGACCGGGGTCAGGGCCAGTACCTTGGCTGTGGCCAGTTCGTTGGCGAGTTCCTGGACCTTCTGCTGCTGTTGGATGAGCAGCTCCTGGACGGAGGCCAAGGTCACCTGTAGCTGAGTCACTGGGAGAGAAGAGCAGTGGCATCTGTTAAATGACACACACAGAGTCTCCTCCTTAACATGTCCCCACCTAAAGCTGCAGCGTCTGAATGGTCTGCACACACCCAGCCAGGCATGTCCCTGCTCTGGGCACCCCACCTGCCCTGCATCTGCCTGCATCTCTATGTCATCTGCCCGCTGTGTCATTGTCTGTGGCCAACACATAGCCATCCAACCTCGCCCCCCTGTCCCACCTGCTGCTGACCCGCCCGGCTCCGGCTTCGGGAACGTCCGCACCCGGCCGCGGCGTGTCCTGCGGCACCCCCCCATCGCAGCCCCGGAGACGGCCTCAGTCCCACACCCTCCAGGATGGCTGAAGACTGCCCATCCCCGGGCCCCGCTGCTCCTCCGCCCTCCCCACCCAACCCCGAGGTGTGGAGCTCCCAGTCCCGTGGCCTCGTTGGGGCCTGGGGCCACCGCGCTGCAGGAATCTGAGGCCCGCCTGAGTTTTTAGATTCAGAGCCTCCACCTAGTAAACAAGTTCATCAAGGAGAAGAGCCACCTCTGGCGCGACAGGTCCCAGCTAATCTGGACCATCACCGGGGCGCCGGGTGACGCACGCGCGCCCCGTGGAGTCGATGACAGAGGAGGTGGCCGGGGTCCCAGGAGCCGCAGTAATTACAGCCTCTCTTGACCCTGTGTCGGATTCTTAGAGGGAAGGGGGAAAATTGCTGAAAACCCCCCTGAAAACCTCATAGAAGCAGAAATTAAAAATGAACTTTACAGCCCTTAGAAAGGCTGTCATTTTATTCCCCTTATTAATATTCTGAGGTTGGGAGCCTTTCCGTAAAAACATAATTAATTGAGGCCGCGCCGACAGTAAACAAGCAATTTCAAATTAAACCGAAATGACGGCGGCTTCATTTGCAAATGTGAACAGATTCTCAGAGCAGATAAATGAAGTCACCACATAAAGTGGAGACGGAGCGGAGGGAGGGGCCGAGCAGGGCTGTGCGGGGAGCTCTGAGGGGTGACTTGATGGAGTCATTAATCTTTACCTGTCTGTGCCACGCTGCCACTCAGCTCCGAGAGGCTCGCCTCCATCCTCTCCAGTTGCTTCCTGTCCTCTCGGCCGCCCATGATGAGGGGGAGCAGGTATTTCTACAAGAGGCAGGGTGGGCGGGAGGGGTGCGCATTGGGGTTATTGTCCAACAATCTCTCATCCTGCAGACCAGCCTGCTTGCCGGCACGCCCAGGTTTGGAAATGCTAAGCAAACACGTCCATGAATGAGGTGTCCAAACGCTACGAGACTGGTCCCAACCAGGTAAACTCCTGTCTGAATAAGGCCAAGGACCAGGGAACAGAGACCAGTAAACCAACTTGATTTATCCTCATGAGACACTTTTTTGGTTCTTTTATTTAGTTCCTTAATGGTGTTATGTAAACTCTCTCTGTATCAAAAATATGCAAACCGTACTGTAAAGTGGTAAGAGAAGAATATAACATGACCTCCAGGAGGAGTGGGAGAGGAACTTCTCACACTTTCCTGAACCTCTAACAGTCTGAACTGTGCACGCGAGTTGTCCGTTCAGACACTAGCGAGTGGCAGTACGGAAGGAAGAAGTTACTTGAGAGGACAGATGAGACCCACAGCAGGTGTCTGGGTGGTTGGTTCCGTCACCAGGGATGAGACATGGATGTTCACGGCCGTCGGGAGGGGTCACCTTGGTCTTTCTCTAAACTGAGCCTTCAATCCTCAGAACACACTTCCTCCAGCTCCGAGCCAGATCAGATTCCCCAGAACTGAGGCCGGGATGGAAGGGAGAGGAAGACCAAGAACTGGAGAAACTGGCCCCCGGAAAAAGCGCAACCGAGAGGAGCCCCCGAATGTGAAAACAGACTGGGAGGATGAGGTGGTGGAACGTTCTGGAAGAAGGCTGTGGGCAGCGCTGCCGCTTGGGAGAGCTGAAGAGACGACACGCGCTCTGACATCCAAGAGCTCAGGCCCCGGCGCCCTCCCAGGGCAGAGCTGCGGCCGCCGCCACCGCTCGGCAGCCTGGCAGCCGCCGGTGGGTGCGGGCGGGCGGCTGTAGACACTGGCTGGCGGGACCAAGGAGAACGCTGGTTCTCAGTCCACTTGGGCCCCCGAGTGGACAACAGACAGCAGCTTCCCATTAAGGGTCTGGCTGGGGGCAGGAGCCCCTCCCGGGCTGCGGGGACGCGCTCCGGGGCGGCTCCCGAGCGGAGAGGTGATCCAGCTCGCACTCAGCACTCTGTTCTGCAAGTGCTTCCAGCCGGGAGGCCCCGCCTGTGCGGCCGCAGCTCCAGAGTGAAAACTTCCTAACACAAAAGCCAGGAAGTTCTCCTACGTGTAAGGAGCTGCAGGTTCCATTTCTGAGACCAGAAATGCCAGGGGAAGCACACATAACCACCCCAGCCTACACCCTCGGGTGTTTATAAACGTCTCCTTGTTCCCTTTAAAGAAACCATTAGCAGGTGTTTTAGAAATTCTCCTGTCACCACTGGGACTGACTCTCCCACGCCTCTCTCCTCTTCTATGCAGAGAACTGACCCCGCTGCCCGGGCCCAGGGCCCAGCCGCCCGGGGCCGCGGCGGTCGGCATGAGCGCAGCCTGGACGTCCCGGGACGCTCTGTCCTTGCGGTGCCTGCGCTCAGACGGAAAGCAGCTTCCGGCGCAGGGGAAGGGCAGGCATCGGGTCAGTGCGGGGAGAGGGTCACACAACCGTCCCGGGCACAGAACAGTTTGCGTCCGCATTTCTGACGTGGAAATTTCCAATTTCAAGAACAGATATTACACCGGGGAAAAGTATTCTGCTACAGCCCTGTCATTAGCTACCGAGTCAAACAGTAAGGATCCAAGCGCCATGCTGAAGCGTGGCTCCCGTGCTAATAGCTACGTGGTGGGGGAGCAGGTGGCCTTGCAAGGAAGGCTCTTCTCTCGAGACCAGGAGGGAGCGAGTCCTCTGCCCTGGTTGTCCCTCTGTCTCTGGGGGCCCGGCTGGCACTGCTCCCCATCAGTTAGTGGCCCTGCTATCGGGCGGGAGTGCTCACTCACTTCTGCAGCTCTGCTTCAGCAATGACTGACAGCAATGAATGACTGAGAGCTGACTATGGGGTCTGAGAAATCCCGGATTTACATGGATTAACAACATAGTTCGTGGGAGACAAAAGGCAGATCCCATGATATGATACACTGAGATGCTCAAAGCTGGTTTTAAATAGCAGGTAGAAAAAATGGCATGGAAAGCACTTCCTACGTGCCAGCCACAGCACTCTCCAAAGCAGCACCTTGGAGCTTCACAACTGCCTCCTGAAGTAGGTTCTATGCCCCCATTTTACAGATGCGACCACTGAGCCTGCGGTCACATCACCATCACATGGCAGAGCGGGATGCAGCACAGGCAGCTGGGCTCCACGGGCCAGCTCTCAGCCACGGTCACTGCCTCTCACCTGGAGGGCTGCCTCTCACACGCCGGGCACTGTATTGGCACAGCCACCCTGGAGAGATGCCAAGGCAGGACATGGACTTGAACCTCCAGAGTGTGTTGGCTGGAACATGCTGCCTCTGTCCATGCCAGGCCGAGTGCCTCTACACAGGTGAAGCTGGGAGAGGGCAGAACGGGCTGAATGCCAAGGGCCACGAAGGGAGGACCTACCTTGTAGAGCTGGTGAAAGCCGAACGCGATGCCCGCCATGATGACAGCCAAGGCACTGTAATCCCTCCATCGGGAACCCACGGGGCCTACGGTTGGAGAGAAGGCGTGTCAGGAGAAGGGGTACATGGGTCCTTCCCGGGGCGGGGGAGAGCCAAGGGCTCCGTGTTCTCATCTCAAAGGACCGGCGACTCCCCTGCGGGAGACAGTGTGATGTCAGGGACATGGGGGCTGCATCTCCCTCCCTTCCCGGCCCTCAGGACCACCTGCCCAGGGTGCACCTGCTGCGGTGCCTGCAGGGAGCTACGTCCCGGCGGGGAGGCAGGTGCAGAGGCGAGCCGAAGACCGAGGGACGGTGCCGCTCGCAAGGCAAGAAGGATCCGGGAGGCTGCCATGCGCACTTAGATGTGCATAAGTGCACGTCTACACGCCCTGCCACAGACAGGGCTCAGCTAAAGGGGGGCAGGGGGACTGTGTGCCCGGCAGTGTGGGGGCACGGGCCGAGGCAGTGGTGACGAGGTCTCTGCCCAGTCTTACCCTGCTCTCCCACTGACCCCGCGAAGAAGAAACACCCACAGAGGATGGAACGAGCTCCCGCCAGAGATGCGGAGGCCAGACAGGGAGATGGGAGAGGTGGGTGGCAGGCAGGCGTCGGGGTCCTCGCAGGTTCTGGAGGAGGCCTGTGCTGAGACCGCCAGGTCCCAGGGGAAAATGGGGACCAGGCAGGGCACGAGCAACTGCAAAGATAGCTGCCCTCTGCTCAAAAGCCAGTGCGGACGGCGGCATCTGGGCCTGACCACGGGGGAGGGCTATCCTGGTGGACAGAGCCCAAGGACAGAAGGACCAGTAAGCCTGGGGAGCATGGAGGGCGGGCTGGGGGAGAGCAGGAAAGGGTGTGGGCACACGGGAGAAGGAGCTGCTGACATGCAGCCGTCTGGGAGGTCCAAGTGGCAAAGACACCCCGGGGGCGAGGGAGATGCTCCCTCCTCCGAGTCTCTGTGACCACCACACCCTTCCCCCTGCGCCGCCCGGCCTCCGGAGTGCAGTGTGGCCCAGGCCCGAGTCTCCTGCACAGAATGTCATCAGCAGGTGGCCTCCTGCAGCTGGACGGCCCTCTTTAGCTTTCCAGTTTTCAAACAGGAAGCACACGCATGGTCTAAGCGCGAGGCAGCAGTCAGTCTGCTCAATGGGCTCCGCCACCAATGGCGGCTGCTGATCGTGCCGTTTATCTGCCAGAGAATTTTTGTGCACAAAGAAGGCAACACAGAAGTGTTTTATATTCCTTCTCTCCTTCCCCTGTATCTCGTCTTTTCTTTCTTTCCTATGGCCGCTCAATATTCCATTTCATCAGTTCCCTCCGATGGACGCTTAGGCGATTCCGGTCCTTCCCTACTTCCCGCGATGCTGCCTGCCACCAGCAACCATGTTCACACCTCACCACGCATACGTGTACAAGCACATGTGTGGCCGTGGACATGGGGAGGCCGGGGCAGAGGCACATGCACCTCTGAGGGACCCAGCCCCATCCACGCGCCTGCTCCCTCGCGGCCACTGGCAGTGGGCTCAGCACACTTGGAGATTTCGGCCATGTAGGAGCAGGGAGCAGTGCTTCCGTGTTCATCTGCATTATCCTGTTGGGACCCAGGACAGTGTCCTTCCATCGCTATTTCCCTGTCAGTGTACTCTGCAAGCACCATGCTTTTCTACTCCATTTCCGCATCAATTCACAGAAACTTTTCATATAGCCGGGAAATGAGCCTCTGCCTTTTTGTTTATTTTTTTCTGACTGTGCTTACGGCGTTTGTGGCAGCAGGTGGCTTTCATATTTATATAAATCCAGCCGTCTACCCTTCTACAGTGATGGGGTCTGGACTGCAGAGCCAGGACTTCCCTCTCCCTTCCCAGGCTGTGCAGCGGCCCTCGTGCTCTCGGCTCCCACCTATAGTGACAGCCCATCCAGCAAGACTCTACGGAGGAAGCAATGCCCGCTGGCGACACTGAGCCCGGAGGCTCCTGTCCCAGCCCTGTTGCCCTTCGCTCTCATTCCCGACCTCCTCTGCCCGGACTGCCGCGTCGCAAAATCCACATCGAGGGCAAGTGCACTTTTAGAAGGAAAAAGTGCAGACACTGAGCAACCTTCCACTCCTCAGGAGAGTTCCCAGCATCTGTCACAGCCAAAGGCCCCCAAGAAGGCGTCTTCAAACGGCCCCTGGCCCGGCCAGTGCGGCTCCTGGGATGGAGCGTCGTTCTGTGCACCCAAAGGTGGCAGGGTCAACTCCAGGTCAGGCACACACCACATTATGAGTTCGATCCATGCTCAGGGCACCTGTGGGAGACAACCGATTGATGTTTCTCTCTCTCTCTCTCTCTCTCTCTCTCTTTCTCTCTCTCTCTCTCCCCCTTCCTTCAACTCGGGGGTAATGAGGTGGAAAAGAGGCCACAGCTCAGGGTCCGAGAACCGGGACCTCTCCTTCCTACAGCTGCCCCCCTTCCGGAGCCCTGACCTCCTGGCACCCAGCACACCTGTGGCCCTGCCAGCGCACCTTCACCCCGCAAGGCGCCTCGTTCCTGCCATGCTCACGTTAAGAACATTTTATTGCCCCTGGTTTTCATTATTAATGAAAAGGGACCAGAATGATCTTTCCTAAAGTTCAGAGAGTCTATAAAGACAAGAAGCTGAAATGCCATTTTACTCGTTCTGGAGATGGGCGGTACAGTTCTGTCTTGTGGCAAAGTGAAAGCAGAGGAAAGCTAAGCCGGAGATCACCCTCACCCGCTGCGTGCCTTCCCAAAGGCAGCGGTGTGACCCGCCGGCCCACCCCGCTACGCCCACCCGAGTCCTCCCCACCCGCACGGCCCAGCGCAGGCTCCCGGAAGGAGTGAGAGCAGGGCGCCGGGGCGTTGGGCCACCGGAGCCTCTGTCACCATGCTCCCGAATGTGGAGGGAGCACCTACAGAGGATGGAACGAGCTCACTCCAGAGATGCAGAGGCCAGGCAGGGAGGTGGGCACGTGGGGACGGCAGGCAGGGGTCGGGGTCCTCGCAGGTTCGGAGGACGCCTGTGCTGAGACCTCAGTGAACGTGAGGGGCATGAGCCAGCGGTTTGGAAGCCCGGAGCCCCCAATCTGGGAGCAGATGCCCCGAGTGCAAGGTCGGGCCCTGGCTCCACCCCAACCAGATGACTCCCGAAAACACGCTTCTCCTCCCTGAAGCACAGAAAGCTGACGTAAAGGACCCGGAGGCAAGGCAGCGGCAGGAGCCGGCCAGCCCAGCTGGTCCCGCCCCCCTCATGGAGGCCGGGGCCGCGGTGCAGCCAGCCTCTCGGATCCCCCTCAGCTCTGCTCGCAGGCCGCCCGCACATTCACTGATGAGCGGAGCGTCCACCGTGAGGCCCAGGCCAAGGCCCGCCCGCCAGGCCCACGGCTCCTCGCAGCCGCTGCTGGGCTGAACGCACTGGGCGACAGGGACCACTGCGTGTCTGACCACTGCCAGGCCCCCAGCTCAGCCTGGTCCTGGGGCTGAGCTGGGGGCCTGGCAGTGGTCAGACACGCCGACCCAGCACAGCGCCTGGCAACCACAGCCCTGCCCGGAGCAGAAGCAGCTGGGCGGCCGGTGGACAGAGGCACGCCTGGGCCACGCCTGGGTCACGGGTGAGCACCAAGGCCTCTTCACACGAACATCCTGTGAAAGGCAACCTCCCACTTCCCAGGCTGCAGCGCTATCGGCAGAGTCATCTGCAGGCAGGAAGGACACTGAGGCACATCTATGTCCTCGCTCACAGACTAAAAATATGAACGCCAATTAAACTGCATGAACTCAGAAGTACAGAAATAGACCCGTGCTTATATGGTCCACTGGTTTGTTACAGAGAGATCAAGGTTTGAGCTGAGACATTTGGAAACCAATAGAGGAAAAAAGGACCTCAACCCTCACCTTACACCATTCACGAAAATTACTCCACATGGCTCCCACACCTGGACAAGGAAGCAAGCACTATAAAGCTTCAGTAAGGAAACAGAAAAAGATCTTTGCAACCTGGGGCAGGCAAAGAATCTTAAGATGCAAAAAGTATAAACCATAAAAGGGAAAAATTGATATATTGAACTTAATCAAAATTTTAAACTTTTGCTTTTCAAAAGGAACTATCCAGAAAATGAAAAGACAAGATATAGACTGGGAGAAAATATCAACAAAATATGTCTATACTAATAAAAGCATAATATGCTAATTAGACCGGACAGCGGAACAACCTACCAGACAAAGCCCGGGTGCGAGGGCTGAACCCCTTGCATGAACTCTGTGCATCGGGCCTTCAGTCCTATATAATAAAAGGCTAATATGCAAATGGCTGTCACGCTCTCACACGTAATGACCGGCAACGGGAGGCTGTGTGCCCAGCAGGCGCACAGGTGGGCAGGGCTGTGTATGCGACTTGTCACCAGGAGATGCACGGAACTCCTCTCAGTCCCTCCCCACCCCACCCCACCCCCGGGCTCCCTCAGGTGGCAGCAGTGGCTCGCTCCCGCCTCCCTCCATGGAAGTGGCATGGCTCCCAGTGGCTCCCAGGGGAACACCGCAGCTTCCACTGGCTCCCATGGAAGTGGCAGGTGGCCTACTGTGCGCGATTTTGCACGCTGGGCCACTAGTATCTGATAAAAGACTTATAACCATCTATCTACCTATCTACCTATCTATCTATCTAAAAGTCTGGTTGTTCCGAACAACCAGAACAACCGGAACCACTGGTCCCTATGACTCGATGGGGGCGAGGATGGCAGGCCAATCTCCTGTGGCCTTCCCCCTGGCTGGCCCTGCCCCTGATCAGTCTCACCCACCTCCCATGGCCCTTCCCCCAAGGTGAACTCCACCCATGCACGAATTTGTGCACCAGGCCTCTAGTAATAAAGAATTGTTACAATTAGTTAATTAAACACATACACACACACACATACATACAAGGTGTCCTGGCCAGTTTGGCTCAGTGGATGGAGTATTGGACCTTTGACTGAAGGGACACGGGTTCGATTCCAGTTAAGGGTGCATACCTCAGTTTCAGGGCAATCCCTAGCCCTGGTAGGGGTGCATGCAA